TATATATATTGATACATGTATATCTAAAAATTATCTACATAATAATCTTAATTAGTTTTATATTTTTCTACTGCTTTAGTTGTTGAGTTATAAAGTGTAAGAATTTGTCGGATCATTACAATTTATGTTTTACATGTGCTTACTAGAAGTGGCAAAACGGGTCAATCCAACCCGTTTAGGTCCAACCCGCCAAAAATAGGTTGAGTTGAGTCGGGTTAACTCGTCAAATGAAAATGGGTTGAACACCTTGACCCATCTTGCCTAAAGGCAAGTTGGCAGGTCGACAGACCAACCCACATTAAAAAAAACTAAAACATGTGAAATTAGAAAAGGAGTTAAACTTCATCCTCCAACTTGCACTTCCCCCCATGATGTGTTCCTTCAACTAGTACTCAACATGGCATCTTAATTTTTGGCTTGTGTTCGTTAGTGGTGGGCACAAGTGAAATTGAACCATACACTATTCCCTTTTTCATTGATCAGTTTGACACAACTACCCCTGAAGGAAGGAGAGGAGTGGGCCTGTTTTTTAATTGGTACTACACTTGTTAAACACTGATATAGTTGATTAGTCTTACAACAATAATATATCTCCAAAACAAATGCTGAATTTGGATTTTAGCTTACTAACTGTACTTATATCCACTAAATAACCAAGTTCAAAGACTGTTGGAATTCTTTTAGCAATAGTTCAATCCCATTATACATAAAAAAGTAAGTGGATCAATGGATTAATCTGTCTTGTCCTACTATTTGACTCGACAAGCTACAATACTTGGCTTAACCTAGAGGTCGTAACATGTTTGTCATCTTAATGCTTACCCTTAATTCTACATATGTTAAAAAATAATTAAAAATTATGAACCAGTATTATCTTAAAAATACTAATTAAATCATTAAAAGTAAAAATATATATTAAAACTATCATCAAAATAGTTTTACCATATTTTTCATATATCATTAATATAATTACAAAATAACATATTTTGTTATTAATTCTTTAATTAATCTTTTTGCAATACTTAAAAAGGAAAAACAAATACTTTAATTTTAATAGAATTATAAATAAAGGTCAGCATTTGGCTTTGGAATCGATCCGAATTTAGAAACTTGTAAATCATATTCGGAAATTCCAAGTGTGAAAGCAGAATTAAGAAGGGCGATATTTGTAGGAGGAGGTTGATTCCGTCAAACATATGAAGCACTGAATTCATTGAAACAAGCAATGCAAGATCTGGACTTTAGAGTTTTAATTATATAAAAATAATTATATACGCAGAGTTGACCACCGATTGATTGATTGAATGATCTTTTATTTAATTTTATTAATCAACCAACTTGCTGGTCAAGGGTCTATTTCAATCTTATCCCTCTCATCTGTTGCACTTTATTTTTATTTATTTTTGGTAGAATCATTTCTTGAACTTTTATATTGATTTTTCTAATCAATCGATAAATAGTTTCACGCTAGGAGGCTATGGTCAATATGGCAAATATAAGAAAACTGATTTTTTAAATTAGTTAATAAATAATATTAATTAAAAAATTTATAATATTTATTATTATGCTAAAAATTGAGATTTACCATATGCATAACGGTTCATATAATATAATTTATTGTGTTTATCATTTATTATATTTTAAATTTATCTATTTTCCCCTTTTACTTGTACAAATTGTTGTATATTTATTGTATGTAACATTTTTTTAAAAATTTTTTAAATCACTAAACCTAACAAAAGAAATTTTTTTTTAGAATTAGTTATTTTTAATTGAGTTGCATAATTTTTTAACCTGAATGTTTTTTTATTTATAATTTAATTCCGTTAATTAATATATTTTAATTAAATTTAAATTTTATTAAATCAAATATATCTTTATAAATTTAACTTATTATCTATGCATTATACACTATCAACTAATTCGAAATCATTATTAATATAATTTTTAAATTTATTATTATAAAAATTAATAAATTTATTATACATGATAGTTTATGATTGGATGAAACTGTAAATATATAGTTCATTTTCTCTTATAGATTAAATTTTAAGATTATAATAATTTTATCTCATTCTAATTTAATTTGGATTTTAAAATTTTAATTTTGACACGAAATATTAATAAATATGATAAATTAAATTTAAATATTTATGTATACAATTTTATTACATCTCTTTGTTTTTTGTTTGGTTACATATACTTTTTTTTTAAAAAAAACATATCTCTTTGATTTATTTTATTTAATATAATAATTTTTCATTATTATATTATCTTTAATTTATTTTTTTATTTATAATTTTTTATTTAAAATATGAAATAACCTTACAATGCATGTAAAATTTTTCTTAGTTAATATCTATTAATTTCATAATATTAATTAATTCATTCATGTTAATTATAAATTATTTTTTAAATAGTGAAAATTAAGCAACTAGTAAAAATTCCAACCCTTATAATATATTTCCATTGTTAGGATTTAATTAATTTATTATTTTCAACTTTAATTCTTATGATTTTATTTATTCACATTTTAGCCACTTGCGTGAAATTAAATAAATATTTTTTTTTTGATAAATTATTTTTATATGAAAAATAAGACCAATACCTATCGAATAAGAATTATAGAAATAAAATATAAATCAATATAAATATAAGTTTAAATATTACTATTTAATAATTAAAATAAACTATAATATTGCAGTTTATATAAAATAGTTATAAAAACTATAAAGATTAGACTCTTTGTTAAAGTTTAGAATTTTATAGTACTTGTCATCGGCCTCATAACAAATTTTATGTTATATGATTTTAGGAAAATATTATCATGTTAGTATTTTATATTTAACTTTATATTAATATCAATTTTTGAAAATTATTATTTGAGTAATATTTTATATTTATTTAAAATTTATCTAAGATGTTATATTTTTTAAGAAAATATTTAGCTTGAGTTTATCTATAATTTTTATTAACTTTAAGCTGTAAATGCCATTTAGCAGCCCTATGTTATTTGACTTTTTTCTTTTTCTCTTTTAATCTAATCATAATATTGCATCTTTTTCTTTAGAAAAACATGAAATCCTAGTCAAAAGAATATTATGGCTTAGAGGGCTACTATAGCATTCCGGTCTTAATAATTTTACACCAAATTAGTTTGAAAGCTTAATTTCAATCTCTATTACGTACTATGTTTTTCCCTTTGACTTTTGTGTTTATCATAAATATCAATGACCTCACTTAAAATGGATTAGGAAATTCCACCAGAGAACTGGTAGTGCATTCAAATATACCATTGATATAAAAGACAATGAGGGACTAAATTTAAGATTTATTATACTTTGTAAAATTATATATTATTCTTAAAAGTAAAGAGGTGTGAATGCACCCCAAACTATACGAGCACTGGTAAGAGCCTATCATGTACAATAAGAATTGTACATGCCATGCTTACTCTTTGCATAAAGTGGAACTAATAACTTTACCTGATAGTACTCATAACTTGTAAATGTTAAAGCCATAAGAAAATGTTATGGCTAGATTTTTGTTTTAAAGAAAGAAAAGCCATGAGCACGTGCATATGAATAAGGAAGCAGTTCAAGTCGCTAGTGTGGTTGCTTCACAGCCATCATGCACACACGCTAAGACATCTTTGTAATCTCTTGAAATGGTAAAATGATCATAGACCTTTCCATCACTGCTTTTCTTGTATTCAAAGAGGAGGGATGAATGATTGAATGCTGTCAACTTGACAAAGCCAAAGTCGTAGTCTCTGAAAAGACTCCACTTGGGGGGTGCTTGGCTGAAGTTTGACAAGTGGCTTCCTGCTCCTCCAGCAACAACATGAATTGTTCCATTCACGACGCCGGAATAGTGAGACTTTTCATCATTCACACATTGATTCTGTACATGGGTTTTGTTCATAAAAAGATTAGCATTAGCATGGAAGTTATTTAAAGCACACCATCGTAACAATAGAAATATTAAGCCAAACAAAATGAATGAAGCAACAATCCATAGATCATCTATACTTTTTATACTACCAACAAAGACTATACCACCTTTAATAACAGCCTTTCTTGTCCACTTTTAAGTGAACATTTTTGTTCTTGCGTAATCAAGTTCAAGTCAAACTCATCTAGTAATTTAATTTAATATCTAACTTTTGGTAATCGCATTGCCACATTTACGAAGTTGTGTGAAGTATATTTTATTTTTAAATAAAAATATATACCAAGGCTCGAAGTGTATCTTTTACACCATTTCAATAATTTTGTTAAGGATAAAAAGCACACCGTGATATGCATATAATGAAGAAAACAAATATGAACTTACCAACTGTGCAAGTTGGTTCAAATTTAAATAAAGTCATAGCATATTTGGCTATTATCTTCACCTGATAAATGGGGCATGTCCTTTCGTAGTTATGGACATGGCCATAAAATGCAATATCTACTTTATATTTCTGCCAAAGTCTTTGCAAACTTTCCCTTCCCATCGGCTCTTCAAATGAGCCCTCCAACCCATAATAAAAATCAGATGAATATCCAAGCACACGGTGAGCAGCAAAAATCAACCAGGGTTGTTTCTGTCTGTCTACTGTTGCAAGACAATGCTCAATGAATTTGTATTGTTCTGTTCCTTCTCTCCAATCATGTTCAGTGTCAGCTATGCAGAAGCGAAACATGCCATAATCTGTTGCATACCTGGATATTCCGAATCTCATATATTATGTATCAAATATGAAAAATACATTTAATATATATCATTAGAATTACAAACTCGCATTTTTGTATATAACTCAGAATTGTTCACGTTGTAATACTAAACCATATTAATGTCAGCAGTCATTTTATAAAAGAAAACCCAGTTTAATAACTTTATATCATCTTTGTAACAAAAGATAAACATGAATGTACAATTCAATTAATATAGTGGTGATATGTACAATCCAAACATGAATGTTTGGATTAGCTTATATTGTGTTCGAAATGGCTTTATAATAAATATAGTTCTAACAGAGCTTTTGATGGGGAAAAAAGGTATCCCTAAAATTTGATGTAATCCAAACATGCATATAATTAAATTTTTCATGAAACCGAATGTACCAAAAGTTTGCTCTGTTTTCAGCTGGAACGAAAAACATGTTCTGAGCCAAAACTCCACATTCACCACCTGAATCTGTAGTGCCATAAAAGGATCCTGTGTTGGGCCAATCACGTTCATGATTACCACTGTAGGATTATTAGACAATTCTTGGTCAATATATGAATCTAATTTACATGCCAACAGAAGGTGTGGACAATAGGACAAACCTGGCAATCATATATGGCACTGTTGATGCAATTGGTTCCACTTGAGATGTGAATTGGTCCCATTGCGAGAGATATCCATTTGCATAAGTTATATCTCCTATGTGGAAAACAATGTCAATATTTTCTAAATCCTTGATGAGCTGATCAGTGGTGTTAAGTGAACCAGGTTGATAGGCATTATACTCATTTGAACCATCGCGCTCAGCCTGAAACAAATTGAAAGAAAGTAAATGCTTTAATAATCATGCTTAACATTCATCTTGCAATTTTATTATTTTTAACCTGACCATTTAGCCATCTCACGAGCAAGAAATTTATGTGGATTCCACATTTTTAATTCTATGATTACAATACTGAGCATGATTGACTTCCATTGAGTCCTCTAAAGAGACACCACCAAAGAAAAAAGAAGGAAATTTAAAAAGAACAAAGATAAAAAAAACAAGTTTTTTCTTTTTTGGTATTATAGGTACAGAGTGCAGCATGAGAAATCAAGCCACTGAAGTTACTTGCACAAGATGTCAATAAAACGATGACAACTGTGTTAAGTAGCAACGAAGCATTGAAAGAAAAGCTTAAATTGATCAACTAATTGCAAGGTAAACTAAAAATTAAAATAAAATATGCTTCATCAGCAGACGGATTGGTAAAAGAAATCACTGTAACCAAATGGAGACATCTGAGATAGACAAGAAAGCAGCATATGACTATCTAACCTATATAATTTCAGTCTATAAAGTTCCAATATTGTCATCTAATAGTTTTTGATCTTCAACATTATAGTGAAGAGATGTTAAATACATTTTTTAGAGTGATCAAGTAGAGTTGTTAAAAAGATTTAGTTACTTTTCTTGATAAATCCATCAGCGGTAAAGATTCTTACTTTGTTCATAAATAAATATGCCTAAAGATTACATGGTTTGAATTACTTCTTCCTCCCAAAGACAGTTTCACACAATCTTCATTCTTTATCTAAAACAATAGATATTACCTTCCCCATATCACCAAATATGATAACACGTTGCAGTGAGTCCTGTCCGGGATAAGGTGATGACTTGAATGAATATTTCTTGCTCCAAATATATGAACCATTAGACAATAGATGCCCTAATCGATAGGTATACCTGAAAAATATATTTTTAAAAAAAGTATGGAACAAACTTTGCCGGTTCCTCATTGTGTTATTAACAAATTGTGATATCTGAATACATACACTGAGTTCGGCCAAAGATTTTTGAGAAAACTTGTGTGTATGAAACCGGGGTCACGCCAACCAACAGTTCGTGCCGGTGAGCCTGCAAGTGAGAGTAACAAAAGAACCACATTATGTAGCACAGCTGTAGAAAAGCCTACTCCCAATTTGTATTGAAAGGAGATCCATTTTGAAAAGAATAAAAAAGCAGCAATCTGTATATAAGAGATTCCAACACATAGCAAAGACAAAATTAACATTCCAACATTTTCTTCCAGCAGCATAAGAAGGCAAAACTCTTGCAATGAAACGTTGTTAAATTGTATAGAGAACATGAGAAACAAGATTTGATGGCAATTTAAACAGGAAAAACATTAATGGTTATGAACTTCTGCTTACTGAAAGTTACTTCTATTAAAACTAAGATTTTCAGTTCTTTGTTTCTTACCCTCCCTCCTGCCATTTCATAAAATGCCATTATAATATAGTTTTCTGGAAAAGAAGTTTATTCTCCTTGGTATATTTTGATGAAACATTATGAGGAACATTACAGAAAGGGCTTTAGAGAGGAGGAAGGACGTAAATAAACCAAGTGATTTCAGTTTCAAAGTAATTAATGCTCATGATTACTCCTTGCCAGGATTCATATAATTTACAGAATACTAAGCAGAAATTCAATTTAGCATTCAGATTTTCTGAAAAATAGTAACTGGATCAGACCACATGCAATAAAAACCCAAATTGATGACTATTGGGATACAAACAAGCTCCCATACAACTATGGGATACAAATAAGGTATTATACAATTGATGAGATACAAAAAAGGTTCTACATCGATAAAATAAGAGAAGAAATAACAGTTTATAAAACATATACCAATTGTGGAGTTGTGAGTGAAATAAATTGATAAGAACCCTAATAGTGACATGGGGTCATAATAAAATAACCATACCACACATGCTGTTGCGACCAAATGTCAACGTCCCAGCAGGAGATTGCACTTGCGTTTTACCCTTAAGACCCCACTCAATGAATGGTGTAGCTTCATTTATGTCATATCCACTAGTCCAGGTAACTGTCATCTGCATAAGACAAGTTGAATAATCTTGAAATCACTTTCCTTGTCCTAATAGTGTTTAAGAAACAAAACAGCATCAATTCCTATTTCAATAGTAACATGTCAAGTTCAAACTTACAGTGTAATGATATATTTTCAGAAAATTATGGAGGCTTTTTCTCAAAATCTATTAACTCTATATAGATCATGTGCCTTGGGATACTTGTTAAATTTATTAACTTCGTATATGGGAAAAATACAAATAATTACTTTGGGTGAGCATAATATCAAGGACCTCAAAGCAGGAGGATAAACTTACTTCGTCCCAAGACTTCCCTTGAGCAAGGCGTGGATATAGAGGCACTTTAGGATTGGCAAATGATATGAAATTGGAAACTGCCACAAGCTTAGGCTGCAGTGCTCATTCAGATGACCATTAGTCAGCACTCAAATCATATACAAACTCTGAATGAAGATAGGCTGGTTTTGTATTAAGTGCATTAGTGTAACATAGTAGCTACAATGCTACATCTAAGGTGAGGCTTTTAACATTAGCATGCTTTACTTAGAATGAAGGAGATAATAAATATAAGAACAGATGAAAGAGCCTGGAAGCACATTTAATAGTCCGCCCGAAAATAGCGCGAAGGAGAAATCTGCACGTTGATTGATCAACTGGAACTTCAAAGAAGCTTTTCCTGTGTTGGTATAGTGTGAGTTGGAGTAATTCATAAACTTGAACTGTAGGTAGAGTTTCAAAAAAATCAAAAGAGTAGGCCACCAGTTAGAAAATTAATCCAACCTGCATTTTAATTCAAACAGAGACTTATGACACATACCTTAATTGGGGCTGAGCATATGTACGGAACCACTTCTTTTGGATCATTCACAGGTGGACATGTTGATGAACTGTCATTGAAAAAGAAGACTCAATGAAAATAAAAGGATTTTTTTCGGTAGAGAAACTCTTAGAAACTTGTATCTGAACAAACTCCATGTTGAGTTCTAACTTTTGTGCAATAATCGATATAATTCCATGATGAGAAAGAGATGTGTAATTATTACTTGAACTTAGCAGGAGAGAAAACTCCAACCCAATCATCTGCAGAAGGGTCAGGGAAATCAATATCTACTGTCACCCATTGGGTATCCTCACCCTGAAATCACACTCATCGAAGCACAAATGAGTCAACTAATAAACACCACAGAATTTGAATGGTTGCAAATTTTACATGAAACCAAAGTATGGAAAGTAACTTTTTCTAAATTAGCAATGTTTAAGGAACATGTTATGTTATGTTACCTTTATGCCGAGAAGAGAAGGGGTGACTGTGATGGAAGCTCTAGTGTGGAGTGAAACAACAGCTTTGTGGATGGCAATCTCGGAGAGTGGTTGCTCCCCAAAACCATGAATGTGAGCAAAGGCAAAAACGATGTTGAAGTTGGCCAAACACGCCATTAACAGAACCAGATTCATCTTAACCTCCATCTTCATATGTCAAATTCAGAAGAGGTTGAATAAATAAGTTATTTATATGCTGTTTGGATACTCAGAATAATTCCACCATGACTTTCTTCCCCTTTGTGTTTTTCACTCAACTTGCACATGCTTTGCCAATAGAATGAATAAGAAATTTGTAGAGTAAACATGAAAATTTTCCAACAACCAGCCTTTCAAGTCAATAAATTATTACAGGTTATTTTTTTTTTCTAAATCAAATTAAATTATTCGTGGTTAGTCTTTTTTGTTTTTTATATACATTCAATCATGGTTAGTCTCTGTCATTGAAATTTCAATCGATTAAAATATAGCATAAATATTATTTTCCCCCTCAATTTTAACGAGGACCTAACATGTAAGCGCCAGTTTGGATTACAATTTGCCAGAAATTTCGTAGGGAAGATGCGTTTTTTTTTTTTTTTTTTTTTTTTTTTTTTTTTAATGTAATTTTGAAAAGATTGGAATAACCACACCTCTTAATTAGATAACCACACATCTTAATTCCCAGTTTTAGAATACTACGTGATGATATTCATAGAAATTACCCTTTGACCGGAACTTGATTTAAGTCGCCGGCAATTGTTTTTGCGCATTACTATTTTTTAATTTTTATTCGAATAATGTCATTATATATGCTTAGTCCTATTTTTCCATTTTTATTTGTTAATAAAAGATGTTGGAAAAAATGATCTCATCTAATCAAGGTATACCAGATAATGGTATGAATATTAGGGAAAACACCTTAGAAGAATCTATAACTCCTCGCGTGATCACACTGAGGACTTCTCGTATCGTTAATGGATCCTCTTATGGGTCTGCATATGGGCTTGAGCCCACAAAAGTTAGTATAAATAAGTGTAACTAGTGATAAAGAGAGATACGTTTTCATAATTACCAGTTGATCAGTTATGACATCTCAAAACGAGGACACACAAAAAAAAAAACAAAGAGACGCCTCACATTAATTAAAAGTCGGCGTTGTCAGAAAAAGCAGCAGAAAAGACCCTCAAACATTTCTTTTAGGATTTTTCCATTTTTTAATGTTTATCAAAAAGCCTTGAAACGCGGGGGCATGTATACCAGATAATGGTATGAATATTAGGGAAAGCACCTTAGAAGAATCTATAACTCCTCGCGTGATCACACTGAGGACTTCTCGTATCGTTAATGGATCCTCTTATGGGCCTGCATATGAGCTTGAGCCCAAGGTTAGTATAAATAAGTGTGACTAGTGACAAAGAGAGGTACGTTTTCATAAATACAGTTGATTAGTATTGATATCTCTGAGATCGAGGACTGACTTGCATTGAAGTGCCTTTTGCAGGTACCCCTCTCTTTCCTTAAGATACATCATGGAAGACGAAGACCCAGCAGGAGTAGCAAAATTACCGGAGTATCCTCGTGCAGGTACATAAGGTTTTGAGTGAGATTAATTTTCGATAGTCGGTAAATACTCCTACAAATATTATGGTAAAAAAATTACTTAATACTATAATTTAAAATTCACCAGAAAAAAGTACTGAAAAAAAAAACTAAATCGCATTTAATTAAAAATAGGTAATATATATATATATATATATATATATATATATATAATGTAATAAAAAATGAACCTACACTTTAATAGATTTACTCTTACCTACACTAGTTCAATGTTAGTGATTCACAATAAACTTTGAATAATTTAATTTAAAAAAAAATTTTTAAAACTATTTTCATTGAAAATTAATATAAAAAACAAAATATGATTAATTAAAATAAATCTCAATTAAATAAGGATATTTTTAGATGATATTCTTAAATTCAATAAAATTATTGAAAATTTGATTATACTTGAATTAACACATGATTGTTTGGTTTATAATTTTTTAACATGTTACAAGTGTTAAATATTTTTTTTGGTGAAGACAAGTGTGAAATATTTATCAATTATTGACGACTAATTTTTACATGAGACTTGATTAATTATTAGTATTTTTTAGTAAGATACTTACTTATAATTATATTTTTTTATTCACAAGACTCGAATCCTATATTTCATTTAAGAGGATCGAATTCAATTTCATTCAAACAAACAATTATTTGATTTTTTTTTTTACTTATATGTATAATCGAAATCAAAATTGAGTATCTGAGTTATATTTTAAGTCACTCGTGAAATATGAATAGAATTTTTACAATATTGTTTGAATTTTTTAACATTATTTATATCAACAAAATAATTTTCTTAAGAATTTTAATCATCATTTACTATTTCACATTAACTTTCTTGTAAAATGAATTTTTTTTGGTAAAGACAAAATGCAAAAACCAGAAAGAACAAAGCTATCTGCCAGATTTTTTTTTTCCTGTAAAAGGAATTACGATATTCATTTAAAATAATCAGATAGAACTATAGTAAGAAATACACACTTCACCAAAAAAAAAAATTATTTCGTAATAACGGATATTCTATCTCATCATCACATTTAAAATAACGGATATTCTAACAATTTCGTAGTAAAAATATAATTACGATTTTATAATAAATATAATATAATATAAAAAATTCTAAAAAAAATAAAAAAGGCAAATGACAAATGAAAAGTATAATGCTAGAGAATCTCCTCTCACTGAATAAATGTAAGAGTGTCAAATAAAGACAGTAGGAGCCATGTAATTAGTTGACAATGACATTAGAAACTATACTACAAGCTGAGAACAATTTTAAATAAATCGATAAGGCTGAGACAGTGAGATCAATTAAGGAGGTTTGGTTTGAAGCGTAGATGAGCAAATATTGGTCTTGGAGCAAGGTCTTGTCGGAATTTCTAGTGACAATTTACTTCAATTTATTTGGTTCATGCATTGCATCTTTTAATTACTGGCAACATAAATAACAAAACGATTAACTCTAAGTGTGGGATTCAACTGTAGGGATTGATCCACGTTTAAGCAAGGTTAGGGATTTGAATCCTGTCTTGTGTATGCAGCCGCGTTAAATCTTGGGGCTAGTTATCCCACCCTTTGAAGTGCCTCCAATGTAGCGAGGAGATTAGTCACTGCTATCGGTAGTGGATACTCCAGGGACGAACAAAAAAAAATAACAAAATAATTTGTCGCATTAGCGGATGATCGGATCAACAGAAGAATTTTGAAAATCCTGTAACAAGATAATAATAGCCATTTTTGAGCCCCACAAGCATGGTAGCCAACGCTCCATATTTAGAGGATGAGTGTATGGAATATGGGATTTTATTGTATATTTAGTACTTTTTTTAAAGTTATTATATATATTTAATTATAATTTTCCTTTAATTTTAATAATATTCAAAGGAACTTGTTAAATATTGTGTGATAAATTTTTAATTGAATTTTTTTTTTTGTTTTGTGCAGGAAAAGTAACAAAGTCAAAGATTCAGGACTGTAGCCATGGAAAATGAAGAAAGAATGAATAAAGTCAAAGATCCATGACCATAACACTGGTTCATGGCCATAATGGTGAAAATCTAGAAGAAGTTAAACATAGGGGATCTCTCAGCGTTGTAGCACTCAATCAGTGTCCAAGCTGTAAGAGCTTTCTTCACTTTGAAGAACTTCTCACTGTTGCAGCAGTGATTCATGGCTGCAACGGTGAAGTTAAAAAATCTAACTTTTCCTTACTTTTAAGGATCATATAAATAGCAAACAAGAGAGAGAACCAAGGGGATGAAGAATGTGAGCTAGAGAGAAAAATTCCAGGAGAAAGAAAGGAGCTTTGAAGGAGGCTTTGGAAGGTTGACATCCTTTGGGAACAAGGGCCTTTGCTTCTCCATTTTCTTCTTCTTTCTTCTTATATTCTTCATCTTTGTATCATTTAGAACCCTCATCATGAGTGACAAACTTATCTTGGATCGAGTTTGAATGTAACTACCAACACTTGTGTAATCCTTTGAATCATATATATATATATATATATATAGAGGGAGGTTATAATTACATCGGTGTAATTTTTAATAAGTATTATACCGCTCAATAACTTTATATTAATTATGAATTTTGTAAATCCAACCGTTAGATTGAAAGTTCATATCACTTCGATCATATATACAAAATTTTATATTAATCCAAGATGATTTGATACTTCATTTTTATAAAACAAAATTGACGTAATATATTCATTTCAAAATACACTAAAATATGAACACTTTGATTACCTTCAAGTTATTGTTCAATTTTAACAGAATTTGATATACATGTATAAAGTGATATGAACTTTTAATCTAACGGTTGGATTTACAAAATTCACAATTAATATAAAATTATTGAGCGGTGTAATACTTAGTAAAAGTTACACCGGTGTAATTATAACCCCCTCTATTCCTCTAAGATTTGTATTAATTAATATTAATAAATATTTTTGGAATGGTTGAGACGAACTAGTTACAAGCTCTTAATGTTGAGTTTTTAAAGTTTAAGCTCTACTTATTTAAATAATCATGTCTAATCTCAAACTTGAATTTGTTTATTAAATTAAATTAAACAAATGAGTTCGAATGAGTAATTGACGAGTCAAGTTCAAATATTCATGAATAATTTGACTCACATCTCTAGTTACCATAAAGAAAAGACAAGAAAAATGAATGTATGCTATGTCATGTAGACACTATTCTAAGGAGATTTCCAACTTTTGAGGGATCATTAGAGAAACATCTCTTAACATACTCTTTTTCAACCATTTGGGGAGTTTCACAATTGATCATGTGAAAGATTTATGCTTCTATCATAAATAAGAATTTGCAACGACCTTAGTCCATTGTGGATTTTATTCACCCTTTTATTCTATAGGCCCTTAAATTAAACAAATAAGTTTGAATGAGTAATTGACGAGTCAAGTTCAAATATTCACGAATAATTTGACTCACATATCTAGCTACCATAAAGAAAATACAAGAAAAATGAATGTTTGCTATGTCATGTATATACTATTCTAAGGAGATTTCCAACTTTTGAGGGATCAATAGAGAAACATCTCTTAACATACTCTTTTTCAACCATTTGGGGAGTTTCACAATTGATCATGTGAAAGATTTATGTTTCTATCAGAAATAAGAATTTGCAACGACCTTAGTCCATTGTGGATTTTATCCACCCTTTTATTCTATAGGCCCATTCAGCTTTAGTCAACACCAAAACCTTATAACACTATATTAAAATCTTACCAACAACAACCATAATTTACATGTCTACTCATACACAATAACAACAACTTATTATACATGAATAACAATTTATGTCTATACATAATTCATCAAACCAATCAAAATAATTTATTTCATCAACAACCACATGGTATTTAAATAGTTCATTAAACTCGTTAATAAGAGACTCATTCAATAGTCCCCTAGGTTTGAATAAAAACTCTAACAATGAATATCCATTCTCACCTTAGCATCTTTTGTCAACTATTCCAAACATTTCATCAATTTGAAATGATAAATTTCTCTAACAAAATTAACATATAAAGCATCCCATTTAAATTATCATTTTATAAAATAGAAAATGAAGATTTAAAATTTTAAACAACAAACAATGGATCTTGAGGCCAGCTATCCCACCCTTTGAGGTGCCTTCAACGTAGTGAGGAGATTAGTCACTGCTATCGGCGGTGGATACTCTAGGGACGAACCAAAATTTTTTTTTTTTAAACAATGGAACCAGTTAGAAAGCTGAAAATACCTAGCGACTATAAGACCAAAATGTTTCAATTTTTTTTTGGTAAATGATGACTCAACGATTTCAAAATAGCTCGACCATTTGCTACTAAAATTTTTAGAGAAATCAAAAATATATTTTGTCTTTTTAAAATTACCAAAATTATTAATTGCTTTTAAATTTTCTTTTATATTAAGACTTTTAGTATTAAAATTTTATTTTACCTTATGATTTCTAATTTTTAAGCAGTAATTTTTATTTAGTTGATAAATTTTCTATTAATATTAGAAATTTCAATTTTTAAAATCTTAATTACCTATTCTCTAAACTTATTTTTCAGCATTTTTTTTTAAATTTTGCCTTTCCTTTCCTTTCCTTTTTTTTTTTAATTTATTATTTATTTTTTATCTAAGATTTATATTTATATTTTTATTAAAAAAACTTAGCAGCTTAAATTATTTTATTTAATTGTGAAATGTATATCATATTTACAAAATACATGCATAACATTAAAATATTTTTCTAACAGTGCATTGAGATATATAAATGAATTTTCCCCCGGCATTATATCCTTTTTAAGACACAATTCTGTTCAAGGTATAATACGACATTAAATATAAGATATTTTTTTTTAACATAGATTCAAACATCACATCATGTTAAGAGAAATTAATTTCCCTTCATTAAATCAAACTTTCATTGATTAATATAAATGAATTTAATTATATATTGTGCAGTAGCTGTCTAAATATCTATTCAGTAAAAAAAAACTGTCTAAATATCTTTTACTCCATCATTTAATCGAATATTGTTATATACGATACGATTATTAATTTTTTAATAATTATGTTAAATTAATGTTACTTAAAAAATCTTAAATTAATATTATACTTAAATGATTTCTAATTAAGTGATGATATAGAATATTTAAACCTATTGATAAGTGTTTATTGTACCGAAAATGTTGGATCATTTTTATCACTTATCTATCTTGAATTAATTAAGATGTTTCTTTTCATTTAACCTCATTTAACCTCTATAAATTTAGGAAGACTCAAAAGGTTGTATAAATTGGTATTTTGCAAAAGAGTTGATGAAGTTTTATTAATAAAGTTTTGGATTTATCTAAATGTATATTTATGTCTTACAGAAATTAAAGAAGATCAAAGGCCTCAAAATATATTCAAAATCGCTTTGTCGTTTGTAAAGGGCTGAGAGGTTCATGGATAGAGATAAAAAATTGGAGAAAATCCAAAATCGCTCTGCCATTTGGAAAGGTTTGGGTCCAGAGAAGGATGAAAAATCTGGCTCCCAGGTACTCAGCAGATTCAAAGGGTTCAGCCATTGAAGTTACTTCACCATGAAGAATCCTCCAAATCGTTTGGAAAGGATTAGGTGGTTTACTGTCTCTCCTCCATACTCTATTTTATTTTACTGCACATATATAAAGCCAATGAGAAAAAGAAATAGGGGGATAAGGAATGGAAGGCGAGAATAATAGAGCTCACGAAAAGTCTATGAACTAGTTGGGAATGAAGGTTCTACAAAATTTCTTTTCTTCTCCTACTCATTCTCTATGTATTCTGTATTGGTTCTCACTAACATGAGTGGTTGATCCTTTTCTTTTATTGGGAATAAATGTAAACCATTAAACTCTTGTATACTCCTTTTGATTCATATACATGATGATCTATTATTTAGTGTTAGTGATTTGGATTATGTTCTTATTGCTAAGATAAATTGATCACTCATCTTTGATCTTTGATTTGGGTTTTGGTTGGAAAACATTTTCTAAATCTGATTTTGAATTAAATCACCTAACTACTCTAAAGACTAAGAATGAATTTAGAGTTGTTAGTTGAACAAGTTCTTAAACTTAATGCAAGGTTTCTAATTTGATAAATAGATGAATCATTTATTGAGTTAGACTCCTTAGAATTTCTAAATATAAGAAATTAATTTGGATTGAATTTAATGAACTCAATGACATTGGATAATCGAAATCATATATAGATGTCTTAAGAGCACATAAGGGTAAGGTTGGTAAGGTTTAATCCCAAAGTTTTATAAATTGTTCTCTTACTGTGTTACTACTATTCTGTTTAGAGTCTTTTATAATTCCATTATTGAAATCTGAACAATACCATGTTTATAAAACCTTTGAATATGTTTATTTCAAGCTTTCACTAGGATATTCAAAATTGTAAATATCTTCAAAGTCCTTGAGGTTTGACAACTTGTACTCTTCTTGTGTACTATAATGACTTGGGGCGCCTGCCTCAAAATTTCACTAGGTTCTTGAAAAAAAATCACTTTATTGACAAATTCTTATACCAATGCGCTGATTCAATATGCCTTGTGCGTGGAGACAAGTATTTTTCTTACATTTTTTTATTCATAAGAATTATAATGATGACAATCAGATTTAAATCTACAATTCTATGTATACTACTTCAACTTTTATTATTAGGCCAATCTTAATATGAAAAATATGATTAGAGATAGAATAGTTAATCTTGAAATAAGAATTTAAAAAATATGGCTTTCTTTAATAAAATTCTTCACAATTTTATCTAATATGTTGCAATACTAATGGAGGAAATACTATTGTGTTGATAATGTGTTATGAAAATCAACATAAAACTATATAAAGTGTAATGTAGAAGTAATAGAGAGAAATTATAGAAAGAATGGAAAGAAAAATATAAGTGAGAAAAATGGAGAACTTCTTGTATTATTTCTAGCAAGACAAAAATTGCAATTAAATGGTTACAAATAAATAATTGGTATTAAAGTGAAATAATAATAATAATAATAATAATAATAATAATAATAATAATAATAATAATAATAATGGACAGTCATAATTAAATTAAATATTCATAATATGAGAATTTGTAAGAAATTTTAATTTTTTTATCTATTTTAATTTTTATTTATCATATTTATTTATAAATTAAATTTTAATATTTCAAAATAAATTATCAATAATTAAAAATAATTATATATTACAATATAAATATTGATCATAAATCTAAAATATAATTTATGTTTAAAATATCTATTTATATAAATTTTAAATATAATTTATATATTTAAGTGTAATATTTATTTGTATATATAATTTTATATTAAGTTTAGTTATATAATAATAATAATGTGCAATGCATAAACTAAAATATATTAGTGTAATACAAATATTAATACATGTTGCAATTAATGTAAAATAATGTAATGAGAAGATTTATCATATATATTTCACAAAACAAAAAATATATATAGTTAGATAATGAAAAGAATATAAACAAAGATTTGTCGAAGAAACTGCGTATACAACTCAAACTCTAGTTATTATTATTTAGATATACAATAATGTCCATAATTTTACATGATTTCTTACCTTAACAAAATCGACTATTCATTAAATTTCTCTACTTAACACTGAATCCTTGACTTTAGAAAGCATTGAGTGATTTTCGACCATAGTTGACTTGACTCCATTTTGAATGCATAATCATGCGAGGAAGTTTGATTTCAGAAGTTGTCATATAGAATATTATATAAGCAAGGGAAAGCAGAGACACTTTGCACATCTCTGAAATTTATTATGCAAATTAAACAAGCACATTCACAAGAGAAACAATGTCACCATCCATTTCTCATGTGTTACTGTCACTTATTTTTTTCGTTCTGCTGCAAAATCCTTCCCAAGCAATCAAACAGGCAAGCTCTGCCTCAAACTTCACTTATATCATTCACTAATTTTCTAAATTCCAGTATTGAAAATAGCTACGAGTTTTTTGGGACTAGGCAGCTTATCATATTTATACATAGAGGCTAGTAATACACTATCCTATATACTCTCTTAACACACTATCTTTTAATTTATTGATTAAAATTTATTAGAAACAATAAAATTACAAGAGTGATTAATTATATAGGGTGTAAACAAAATACTACATCATTATGAAAAGAAGAGAAACACAGTTTATAAAACTCACAAAATCTCTATTTTCACAAGACCTTTTGGGTAAAGAACAAAACTAAATGCATGAGATTGTAAGTTCAAAGTAGATAATATAATACTATACCAATCTTGAGACCTGTGTAAATATCCAATTCACAGCTATATATAAGCTCCTCTTGAAAAAAATATCTCTATAAAAACAAAATATAGAACATTCTCTAAGATAAATTTTTGTGTTCAACTTATCGCAGTAAGTATATTCGGAAGAGTATATCAGAAAGTGTGAGCATTTCTCTATTTTTAAAGGTGTTAGTGTTACTCACAAGTGTTCATCGAAGTTTTACAATTTTCATATTTAAATGTTACTACTTACTAATCACATCCATGTTTTATTTTGTTAGTCCTACATTATATATTTGGGATCACATTCTTTTGGTCCAAATCCTTCCTCAGTGGATGTTGAATCTGTCACGAACTATCACTATGAATTACTTGGATCATTCGTTGGAAGGTATAGAATTTAACCCCAGATCCATGAAATTCTCTTCTCTGGTGTCAAAACCAATATAAAGTGATTTCATGCTCTCTTTTTCTTTCGCAGCAGCGAAAAAGCCAAAGAAGCAATCTTTTATTCTTACGGTAGATATATTAATGGCTTTGCTGCAGTACTTGATGAAGATGTAGCGGCCTACGTTGCAAGTATGTAATTCAACTTCATGCATTTATCATCTGCAATGCATAATATGAATAACTTGACAAATATTTACCTTAATTTCTAACTACTTTTTTTTTTCCCTTTTTTTATTATTGGTGCATGTAGAGCATCCGAATGTAGTATCAGTTTTCTTAAACAAAGAGCACAAATTGCAGACAACACATTCTTGGGATTTCCTTGGGTTAGAGAAAAATGGTGAATTTCCACATGCCTCAGCATGGCGGAAGACAATGGGTGAAGATATCATTATTGGAAATATAGACTCAGGTGTTTGGCCTGAATCTAAGAGTTTTGGTGATGAAGGGTTCGGACCCATCCCAAAACGGTGGCGTGGAATCTGTCAAACAGAAGATAATTTTCATTGCAACAGGTTCCTTCTTTCGGTGTTAATATTAGTTCAGTTAGTATTAGCTTCAGTTATAAACTGACGTTCGGGTTCGCCTGATAAGAAAATTCATCGAGTTTTATCCGTCTCTGATATTTTTGTACTATATGTAGGAAGCTTATTGGAGCAAGATATTTTTACAAAGGTTTTGAGGCAAATACTGGTAGAAAAGTGAATGATTCGATGCTTGGTGCACGTGACTATGAAGGTCATGGTTCACACACTTTATCAACAGCTGGTGGTAACTTTGTTCATGGAGCTAGTGTTTTTGGCTTTGGAAATGGAACTGCAAGTGGTGGATCACCAAAAGCTCGAGTTGCAACCTATAAGGTGGTCTGGCCATATTCTACATTGCCCGGTAGTGGATGTTATGATGCAGACATTTTGGCTGCTTTTGAGGCTGCCATAGGTGACGGCATTGATGTGCTTTCGGTGTCTTTGGGCTCATCTGAACCCTCCGAATATTCCAAAAACGGTATATCCATAGGGTCTTTCCATGCAGTTGCTAACGGCATAATAGTTGTGGCTTCTGCAGGAAATGATGGGCCTCAATCTGGATATGTATCCAACGTTGCACCGTGGATCCTCACAGTTGCTGCAAGCACAATTGATAGGGACTTCTCTAGTTATGTTACACTTGGTGACAACAAAATCATCAAGGTATAATATTGTTTATACTTTATACAACCTTCTCTTTCTTGTTATATGAAAACATGTGTCAATCTAGGCATCTAACCTATCCTCTTGTTGGTTCTGTTATTGTTAGGGAGCTAGCCTTTCAGAGTATGACATACCATATAATATGAAGTACCCGTTGATCAGTGCTGTTGATGCCAAAGCTAATGATGAAACTGCTGATGGAGCGTAAGAATACTTCAACCAGCTTGAGCTTCTAAATTGACTTTATATTGGGGATGTTCTCTCTAGTAATATTCTTGTACATTCTTGTAGTCCTTTTTGCCTGAATGAAACTCTTGATGCTGAGAAGGTGAAGGGAAAAATATTGGTCTGTCTTCTCGGTGGTGGTAATGGTAGAATTGAGAAGGGTGAGGTAGCTGCTGGTTTAGGTGCTGTTGGAATGATTTTGGTTAATGATGAGGACTCAGGAAGTGAAATTTTCCCTGACCTCCATGTGCTTCCTGCTTCACAGGTTGACTTTGTGAGCGGCAGTTACATTTATAATTACATCAACCTCACCATGTAACTTCCTTCCTCATACTTTAGGCTAGTTTTGATTTCATGGTTGGGTTTTTGTTTGTTGACATTTTATATTATCAGGTCTCCTGTGGCATACATTTCTAGGGTGAAAACAGAATTGGGTGAAAAGCCTGCTCCATATGTGGCTCCATTTTCATCAAGGGGCCCCAGTCTATTTGAGTCAGCAATCCTCAAGGTTCAATCGTTTGCTTTCATGAAGACCCCATCACTCACCCTTTAGGACTTAAGTATGAAGTGATCATTAATTTATGTTGTGTTTCAGCCTGATGTGACTGCACCAGGAGTCAACATCATTGCTGCTTTTAGTGAAGCTGTATCTCCCACAGAACTAGATTCTGACAAAAGAAGAACTCCTTTCATTACTATGTCTGGAACTTCAATTTCATGTCCTCATGTTGCTGGCCTTGCTGGGTTGATCAAAGCCCTTCATCCTGATTGGAGCCCAGCTGCTATTAAGTCAGCAATCATTACCTCAGGTAAGGTACATGGCTTACACATGTTTTTTAACTAACATATTCCTTAGGGAAAAGTTAAAAGACTATCTACTTAAGAGACTAATTTTCTTAAATAAAATTTTTCTATATATCTAGAAATCAAACGTCTCATCATATGTTTAAGCGACACGCATCTTCATATTTAAGGGACAAATTATCTACAAACATGTCGCATTTAATTGGTAGACGGTTTACACTTTACATACCTATATATGCGATTATTTGGCATTCAAATTCAATTATATACAAACCGATTAAAAAGCTTAATGCATGTTGCAGCAAATAAAATAGATAACACTGGAAGGCCTATCCTGAATTCATCATTATCGAACGAGGCAACTCCATTTGACTATGGTGCAGGGTACATTGAACCTAATCTTGCTGTGGAGCCTGGACTTGTATATGACATGGATATGACTGATTACATGAACCATTTGTGTGGTCGTGGCTACGACAGCTCCCAGCTTATGATGTTTTACGGGAAGCCTTACACTTGTCCAGAGTTGTTCAATCTTGCAGATTTCAACTACCCAACAATCAGAGTTCCTCGGCTTCACCCTGGAGATTCTGTGAACGTTACTCGAACCGTTACTAATGTTGGGTCACCAAGCACGTATAGAGCGAGCATGGAGGCACCACCACAAGTTCTACTCTGGATTGAGCCTATGGAACTCATGTTCAAGGAAAAGGGTGAAAAGAAGGAGTTCACAATTACATCGACATTGATGCCGGAAACTGAGAGCACCACTGATTACGTCTTCGGGTGGTTGACGTGGTTTGATGGCAAACACCGTGTGAGGAGTCCTATGGTATTTCACATTAAGTGACCTTTACGTTCATGCTGCATTTCTTTTATCTTTGTAATCAAGTTTTTTATTAACAGTAAGATTCTGCTTGGTAAATACAAAAGAAATGAATGAAAAAATAATAATAATAATAATAAGAGAGATGTAAAGGCATATAAATGTTACTGATGTCATATTAATGTTTTATTATCACTTGCTATATTACTTTGTTGTTGTTAGTATATTAATTATTTATTGTTGTTGCTATTAGAATTATTATTTTCTAAATATTTGTTGATAGATGGATTTTTTATTTTTTTTTACATTATATATAGAGCGATAAAGGATTATCTTTAGAGTTACATGTAAGATCCATTATTAGGTTAATGATTAGAAGACTGGAAGAAAATAGGGGAGCTAACATACTTAGAGACATGTATCTCATAATTATAGAGTATTGATCATTTTCCTAAGTCTTATTAGTATAGGATTTATTTTTCATTTCTATTTTGGCTTTATCTTTAATTTATTACTTTATCCTTGTATTTTGGGAACCTTAGACATATGATTTATTTTGTTTATATTTTTCATTTTACCCTTGTATTTTGGGTTGCCTTAGAATTTATGATTTATTTGCTTTGTATTTCTTATTTTACCCTTGTATTTTGGAGTATTTAGAATTTAAAACTTTGTTTTCTAGAGTATTATAAGTGGATGTGATCATGAGATTCTTTTAGGCCAAGTTGGACCTAGGTTGCATATTCCTATCATGCACCTAATTGTAGCTTAACTTAACCTAAAAAGATGTCATCTTGACCTAAGCATGTGCGACACATGGAGAGATACATTTAGGTCTCATTTAGGATGCATTTCATTCTCGTTTTGAGGTGGAAATGATCACCCAATGATGACTTAGCCGTCATTTCTCCTTAGGATTATGACCTCACCCATCACTTATAAATACCTAGACTATACTTCTTGTAACACTTTGGATATTGATATAGAGTAAGCCTTTAAGCCTTTGTATTTTCCTTAGTCTCCCTTGGTCATTTTCGGCCTCCTCCATCAACTCTTCACCTTGAGTGTTAAATCCTAGAAGTGACCTTTATCTACCTTAAAGTGAGCCAAATCTTAGAGTACCTTTCAAACATTTAATCAAACACCTTCCTTCCCTATTCATTTTTGCCCATCATCATCCTTCACAAGCTAGAGTTCTTGAAGAATCAAGATCCTTAGAGTCAAGGAGACCTCCCATTGGTATTCTTCACCCATCAATGCTAGGAGGATTTCCATCATAGAGTGAATTGCACATTTTTTCTTTTTTATTATGTTTTTTCTAAATATTGTTGTAGAGGGCACAAATGGTGACATAATTTTGTGTAAACAATTTTAGGAGATAAATTGGATTTTGTATTGTATCGGGAATATGTTATAAGGGACATGACTAGTGTCATAGCACAACATTATTTTTTATTAATTTTATATTAATAATTTCTGACATGAAAAAGTTTAGAAAAATAGAATGGAAATAAAAGATTGTTTGGTAAGAAAGAAATAAAAGGGAAATAAAGTGAAAGTTGATTTTTATAGGTAATTTTGTTTTAAAAATATAAATAATTGTATTTAAATATAATAAATATATTTTTTATTTTAATTATTTATTATTTTTATATTATTTTTAAAACCAATATAATATTTACGAATGAAAATTATTGATTATTATTATTATATAATATCATAATATTAAAAATTATATTTATTATTTATTATTAGGAGTAGTATTTTTTTTCTTCTAACTATTATTTATCATAAACTTTCTCATACTTTCTCTCATTTTAAAGATTTTTTTTTAATGTTGACTTCACAATTAAATCATTACACTTTCTCTTAATTCACTTTTACCAAGTAATACTAATTTATTAACTTCACATATTTCTTTTTCCTTCTTCTCCCTACTCTTTGTTGAGAAAACAATTCAAATTTTCAAATTTAAATATTTAAGATATTATTTAGATTTTAAAAGATATCATTTCTTTTAAGATATATTGTTTAGAATTGAAATATATTGTATTTATTTTAAAGATTTGTTTTCTATTTTAAGATTGTGATATAAAGTCAATAAATAGAGACTCTTGAGATGAGAAGAATCACCTCGACTTGTAAAGGGAGTTACTACCTTAAATAAGAGAGGATGTCATATGAATGATGATTTCCAAGTTTCGTCAGAAAACTTGTGATAAGGGTTTTCAAGTTTTGTCAAAAAACTTATGAAGAAGAGGTTTCCAAGTTTTACCCATAAAATTTAAGAGGAAGATGTTTTCAAGTTTAACGCACAAAACTTGAAGGGAGATTTTCAGGATATATGTAATATATTTTGAGATAAATAATGAACATCCTTGTGGACATAGGCACGAGGGACTGAACCACATTAAATAAATTTATGTAATCTTTTTCTATTTCTTTATAGTGTTATTTTAATATTTTTCTCATCATTATTATGCGTAAAAAAAAGAAGATATTTTTGTTTCCAATACTGTTTTTCTCTATTTTTTGTTTCCCAAACATACCCTAAAAGTTACTTAAAAATTTATAGGAAAATATATTGATATTATTGTTCATCTCGTGTTCTGGCTTACAAAGTTCATACTGTCGTTTAAGAATTCTTTCAACGTCAATCTTATTAAAATTTAAAATGGAGATTATCAATCAACGCTACAACCCGATTTGGTACCTAGAAAAAGAAAGGAAAAGAAAACAGACAAATGCACCTTTTATTTATTTATTTTATTATTATTAGTACAAAGTATTATTTTTTATCGTTAAATTTGATTGATCATATTTATTAAGATCTCGTTTTTAATCTACATTTATTTATTTATGAGACTCAAATTCAACAACTTGTTGTCTAAGTCTAATTCCATTTAGATTAAAATATGTTTAAATTTAATTTCACTTGGATTAAAATATATTTATAAAGAAATGTAGGTATAATAAAAAATATAACAAAATAAGAAGAGATATAAAGAGAAATAATAAATGTTATTCGAGTGCACGATACATTCCACGTATCATCAATTGATCAATTTAAAATAATAAAAGATAAAATAAAATATGATTAATCATGACTATTTCAACCTAGTTGTGTTATAAAATAGATAAATGAGAGAAATATTAGAGCTAGTTTAGCGGTTGAGAGTTGAAGTAATTATAATTTGGATAAAATATATTTTTAATTTAAAAAAAAAATTCAAATTTAATTTTAATCTCTTTAAATTTGTTTATCTTATTTTAATCCTCTAATTTTAAAACTATTTTTGATCCTTAAAATAATTTAAGTAATATTTTATAATTGTTTTAAGTGTTATCTAATATATTATAAAAGTTAATAAATTTACTATTAGTTTAGTGTATAATTTTTTTAAGTGTTATCTAATGTATTTGGAGGAATAAAAGTGATACATTTTAAAAATTGAAAAATAAAAATAGGACAAATAAATTTAGAGGAACTAAAAATGAATTTCAATAATTTTAAAGGAATTAAAAAAATATTTTACTGTTATAGTTTTGGTAAATAAAAAATAGACAATAGAAAATTCTACTTATTTTTATGAACAAATTAACAATTTTATCATAGATATTAATATGTTTAGCTAGTGATAATTAACCGGGATTGGTTTATTGAGAGTTTTTTTTTATGTGATTAGGGTATTCTATCATTAATTAATCTTATTTTATTTGGTATCTAATACACGTTTTACAAGGAGCATTGAAATGCCTGGTAACACTTTCAATACTAAGAAAATGTTACCTCTTTGATTTATATATAAGAAAAAAAATCAATTTTACACATATTAAAATAATAGTTCAATATATTTAATTTTTTTTATAAAAATATATTTTAATTTTTATAATTTTATATAAAATATAAATTACATTTTCTTAAAAAAAATATAATTTTATTGTTTTTAAATGTGTTTAAATTTTATAATTTCAAATAAAATATATACTACATTTAGTAAAATATATTTAATCATATTTATTGTAAATAATACTCTTACTTATTATTTTGAAGTCATTTTTAGATTAAAAACATCTAATAAAATTAACAGGATTAAAATTTGCTTAAGTACAAAAAAAATTTAAGTTCTTTTCCCTTATATATAAATATGGAAGAAATACCTTTTTATCGTTCAATTGTCATGCAAAGTCTAATAGAACAATTATAACACTAATATTGATACCAAGATAATCTAGCTCACTTAGTTAAAATGCATGAATCGTTATAAACTTTAATCTTTAGCTTCGAATTTGATTCAGATATATAAAAATTTAAAAATATACACCAATCTTAATTAGAAGGGTTTAGGGGTAACAAATCAATTCATTTATTTATTATCTATTTAATTCATTTATAAGTAAATCTATTTAATTCATCTATTATAATAAAAATAAATAATTGATTAGATTCAATCTAACCATTTAATTTTATTGATATTTAATGATCCATTAACAAATTTTCAAAACTATTAGATTATAATATGAGATATTGGATTGAGATTTTAAAAGACTATTTTAACATAAAAAAAATGTCTTTTAAATTTTAAAAGATTATATAAAAATATAATGAATTATAAATAAAAAAGAGAGAAATAAAATATTTTAAAATTAAAAATTATTTAATTTTTAAAACATTATTTTTATAGACAAATTAAATATTTATTCATGCTAAATTTGTTAATAGATAAATTAAATGAATTTTTTTAAATGAATTAGATAAATTGAATTTTTTTTGTTGTAAATTTTTAATAAATTTATATAAAATAATAAATTATTTTTATCCCATTCATTATAATATATGATATTTCTAAAAAGTTATCTGATTGATTCATTTTTACTTTTAAGAAAGAGATTTAACTATTTTTTCTCATAAATCCGAGTAAAAAGGTTATTAAAAAAATCATATGGGAATCCTTCCCATGAATATTTCTCCACTTAGGAAAAATTTTATTTAATTAAAAGTCAATATATTAATTCATTTCTGA